CGGTGAAGCGCCGGTGCCGCCCGGGCGTCTTCTCCTTGCCATCGGGGGGCGCGCCGCCGGGCCCATCCTTCAGCGGCTCCTCCTGGTGCACGGAATCCTGGTCTGCCAAGGCCCTGGAGCGCAGCGCCAGCGGCCCCGTCGAGGGGGCTTTGGCGGCCGCGGGGTCGGCGGGCCGGTTGGAGGGCTCGGGGTCGGTGACGCTGGAGGGTTGTGTGCTGCTCCTGCTGGGCCCCGACAAGGGGCTGCCCGGAGCCCTCCGGGAGCCGACGGGGCTGGCGTCTGGGGGACTGGCCCCTGCAGGGCCGCCCGGCGGGGGTGGGGGCGGTGGCGGCGGCTGCTGCTGCTGGAGCTGGAAGGCACTGTATGGTGGCGGCGGGGTCGGAGGGCGGTTCACCACTTCCTCATAGGGAGGTAGCAGGTAGTTTGGCAGAAACCCTAAAGCAGAGGCAGGGAGGAGAAAGCGCGGTGCTTTGAGTGTGTGAGATGGCAGGCCCCCGAGCACACGTGCGCCCTCTGCCCGCGCACCCTCTACCGTGCCCACCTGGCTGTGGCGAGGGAGGGCCGCGGCGCCCCTGCGGAGAGGGCCAGGCGGGCAGGCAGTGTCTGGCCAGGCTGCGCGGCAGCGGGCAGACGTGCTGAGGCCAGGGCCCTCGCTCGAGGCTTCCCGGCCCCCGGCCCAGAAGAGGGTCCTTCTCTGGGAGGTGGGAGCTCTGCGTTGCCCCGGCCCTGGTGTGGTGGTGCAGCCTCAAGCGACAAACCCAGCTCACCCGACTCAGATCGAGAGGGGGAGGGGCCTCTGCAGCCCAAGCTGACCAGAAGCAGGCCAGGGAGGTCTGGGACGCCCCTCTGCGAGCCCTCGAGTCCTGGGTCCTTGCCCGCCCCTCTCCCGGCAGCCTCTGCTCAGCATGTCACAGGGCGACAAGCACCACGTCTCAATTCGCCCGCTGCACACCATCTGGCGCCTGGCCAGGCACTGCGGTGCACACCCATAATCCCGGCAGGCTGGAAGGCCGAGGCGGGAGGACCGCTCGAGGCCAGGAGCTCAAGCCCAGCCTGGACAACACAGCGAGACCCTGTCTCTGCCGACTGACTTTCAACTTGAAAGAAAAACAAGTAGATAAGTCTGTGGAAGGAGCAAAGACGTGGCCAGAGCGCCGCCAGCCGGAGCTCCCGGAAAGCCCATGGCCGGCCGCAGGGCCCCAGGGCCCTGCCCAACCCTGCGTGTGCCCGTCCGTGCCGTACGTACTGAAGTAGAACGGTAGCGCCGAGTAGCTGTGGGCCTCGCGGTAGGCGATCAGGTTGATCTCGTGCTGCCGCTGCTGGGCCTGCAGGCGGTGCTTGGCGCGGCGGTGGTGGCACACGCAGCAGCAGCTCAGGATGATGACCACGGTCCACACCAGCCAGAACCCTGGGAGACAGAGGCACGGTGAACACCCGTGGGCTCAGGTGACCCGCGGGGCCTCACCGCTAGCAGGCATGTGGGCCACATGGAGGAGGGTGGGCATGGTGGAGATGCCAGGACGGCACCGCTCCAGGGCGACCCGGCATCACCCCAGTCCCAGGGCCTGTTAGGGCACGTCCAAGGTCTCTTCAGAGGAATTCAGAGACCTCGGACAGCACTGCAGACTAAGTCTTGGGCCGAGCCCCCTCCCAGCTCCAAGCAGGCAATGGAAGGGCCTCGGAGGCGCCTCCTGCGGACAGAACTCCGAGGGCGCAGGAGACCGGGGGCTTCTCTGCCACACATGCCTCCCCACGTTTGGCCACCAGAGTCAGAGGTGGAAAGCCCCAGCTGCCGCGGCCATCTCGCCCCTGGAGGGCAGACGGCTTCCTCTGTGTCCAGCAGAGCCCCCATCCAGTGCGATCCCCTCCACCAGTGCCGCAGACCCCCTGCTCCCCTCTCGCCCACGCCGCTGGACTCTGGGCTGGCCTCCCTGCCCAGGGAAGGAGGAAGACAGACGCAGGCCCAGCCTCTGGCTTCTCACTGTCCCGGGTCCTGGATGAGGAGCCCCACGCGTGACCTCTTCCCCAACCCAAAACGTATGCGGGAAAAGCTTTACAAGCTTGGTGTGAGTTGATGAGAAGTTGTATTTTATTTATTTATTTATTTATTTTTTGAGTTGGGTCTCACTGTTGCGCAGACTGGAGTGCAGCAGCACGCCCCCGGCCACCGTAGCCTCGCCCTGCTGGGCTCCGGCGATCCTTCCGCCTCAGCCTTCCGAGTAGCCGGAGTTACAGGCATGCGCTACCACACCCGGCTAATTTTTTTTTATTTATTGTAGAGATGAGGTCTCGCCAAGTTGCCCAGGTGGGTCTCGAACCCGCGGGCTCAGGCAATCCACTCACTTCGGCCTCCCAAAGGTGAGGGATCACAGGCTGAGCCACCAAGCCCAGCTAGAAGTTGTGTTTTAAACACACACACACACACACACACGGAGAACGGCTAAAAGGAAAAACACAAAAACGATGACATCTTTTAGTGCAGTTATGAGAAATTTAAACTTTCTTCTTTTAAGTATAATTCTTTCAAATTATAAAACTAGAATAAAATTAAACTTTAAAAATATGTGACTTCTCTTTACTGGCTTTTGTTTTAAAATGAATAAATTAATTTCTGGATAGATTTTACAGTTCCTTAGAGAATGCAGCTATACAATGAAACACTATGAATCGTTTAAAAATGATATGCACACTATTATTTCCAAAACAGAGAGTTTCTGATAGAAAGTGTAGAGGATTAAAAGACAATATGAAGCATGCTCCCCACTTCAACGTTCAAGAAGCGTACAGGACGGAGGAGGCAGAGGGCTGGCCAGGAGCCCGTTGCTGCTCTGGGAGGCAGGACAGCGGGTTTCTGGAGCCAGTGCCTTCGTTTCTACCCACGCTCCTAACTTTTCTAAGACAAACATGCACTTCTTTGTAGTAGAAAGAAATTTTTTTTTTCCATAAAAAATGTATCTGAGAGCTGGGTATGGTGGCACCTGCCTGTAGCCCCAGCACTTAGGGAGACTGAGGCGAGAGGATCACTGGAGCCCAGGAGGTCGAGGTTGCAGTGAGCCATGATCGTGCCACTGCCCTCCAGCCTGGGTGACCGAGTGAGACCCCGGCTGAAAAAAAAGTTATCTGAGGATAACTTTAAGGTGAGTTGCTACTAAGCAAGACTAGATTGGATTGTTTGTTTGTTCTCTGTTCCTGAAGCACTTGTTTTTTCCATTGCGAATGCTATGTGTATGTCATCTGCTTTGTAATTATACATTTGTATTTACATTTTTAAAAGTCTCTTCACATGTATCTCCTTATAATGAGTTAAATCCAGTAAACCTTACTTAAAAACAGAAATAAATCTCCTCCTTCCCCCCCACAGACTCGCAGATGAGCAAATCCCTGTTTTGTCCTTCCTTTTTTAAGTACACACCCCGAATGGCCCCTCTGGCATTTGGGCCATTCCCCTGGGGGGTCGCCCCTCCTCTCCCACAGGCTGCCCCTAGTGTGAGAGGTGGCCCACCGCTTCCAGCAGACACCACCGTGCCAGCAAGCCTGGGTGCTCAGGCCTTGAGACAGGAGAGCAGCCAGAGGCCAGTGGGCGGGCGGCTCTTCCCCTTGGCCCCACCAGCAGATGGAAAGGCCCCACTGCTAACTGCAGAGCACAGGCCGGCGCCAGAGGTTCCCCCCGGGGCCCTCCCACTCGCTGCTGACACTCAACCCACGTCTCCTGCCTTGTGAGCGCTGCTGCCCGTGGGCAGAGTGGGTGAGGAACGCTTAGGAACGGTGGAGAGGCCAGAAGGGGGCCCCGGGCAGAACTGGCGCCTGACGCGGTCTGTTGGGGGTGGGCACTTTGCTTAAGGCCCTGGTTCTGCCAGGTCTGTAGTGGGTCAAGTCTCAACGACTGGCCAGGGCGGTGGCTCACGTCTTGTAATCCCAGCACTTCGCGAAGCTCAGGCAGGAGGACTGCTTAAGGCCAGGAGTGCAGACCAGCCTGGGCAACAGAGCGAGACCCGCCGCTACCAACAACAAGGAAGTCTGGATGGGTCTGTGCTGACCGCGGCGTGTCACCTGCACTCCTCTCTCCTCCTCCACGCCCTCTCACCCACCACCCTCTGTTTCACGTTGCTTGTTGAAGTACCTAGCTCTTCTGCTCTTGACCTGTCCCCAGCCATTTTTTCAGTCGTTCTTTACGGAAAGGTCAATCGACTTCTAACTTTTCTGCTGGAACATACATGGTCCACAGCAACATTTTTCAGGCTTTTCTAACAGGCTTGTTTGTTTTTTAACCTAGGCTTTAAATTTAAAAAAAAACCTCATGCATTGCTTTTCATGTTCACCAAGTATTTGACTCTCCCTTTCTGGGTGGGTGAGTGCCTTGAACTTCTTGGCCCCCATAACTTCTTAGGCTTTGGGACTAATTCCTTTTTTTTTGAGTCGGAGTCTCACTGGGTCGCCCAGACTGGAGGGCAGTGGCCGCTCCCGGCCACCGCAGCCTCGACCTGCTGGGCTCTGGCGATCCTTCCGCCTCAGCCTTCCAAGTAGCCGGAATTACAGGCATGCGCTACCACGCCCGGCTGATTTTTTTGATTTATTGTAGAGATGAGGTCTCGCTGCCCAGGCGGGTCTCAAACCCGCGGGCTCAGGCAATCTACTCACCTCAGCCTCCCAAGGCGGGGGATTACAGGCTGAGCCACCGAGCCCGGCTAATTCTTTTTTTTTATTTGTGAGTTGGGGTCTCACTGTGTTGCCCAGACTGGAGTACACTGGCATGATTACGGCTCACCACAGCCTTAACCTCCTGGGCTCAGGTGATCCTTCCACCTCAGCCTCCTGAGTAGCTGGGACTACAGGCGCATGCCACCACACCTGGCTAATTTTTAAATATTTTTGTAGAGATAGTATCTCGCTATATTGCACAGGCTAGTCTCAAACTTCTGGGCTCAGGCGATCCTCCAAACTCGGCCTCCCAAAGTGCTGGGGCCTCAGGCGTGAGCCACTGCACCCGGTCCAGGCTTTGAGAAGAATTCTGGCTAATGAATGGGATGACGTGATGCAGCCCACCCTGAGGTAGAACATTTCTTGCTGATGTGAGACCAATCATCCGTCTTCTCTTTGTCATGTGACTGGAACATCCTAGAAGGTGACTTCAGGTCAGTTTGGGTCCCATAGGATGAAGAAGTGGAAGCAAAACTCCCATCCAACTCTCAGTGGACATACAGTGTGAACAGGAAATAAGCCTGCGGTTTAGGTAGCCAGGATTTAGGGCCTGTTTGTCCTGCAGCACAGCCCAGCCTATCCTGACCACTGCAGGGAGTTGACGGGTTGCTGTGGGGGGAGGATCCACAGTGTCCACCAGTTTCTTTTTTCTTTTTTTGAATTGGACTCTCACTCTGTCGCCCAGACTGGCGTGCAGTGGCCGCTCCCGGCCACTGCAGCCTCGACCTGCTGGGCTCTGGTGATCCTTCTGCTTCAGTCTTCCAAGTAGCTGGAACTACAGGTGCATGCTACTACGCCCGGCTAGTTTTTGATTTATTGTAGAGATGAGGTCTCGCCAAGTTCCCAGGCAGGTCTCGAACCCGCGGGCTCAGGCAATCCACTCACCTCGGCCTCCCAAAGGCACGGGATTACAGGCTGAGCCACCGAGCCCGGCTCACCAGTTTCTTACAGGAACCCTTGATCCAAAAGAAAGTGAAATCCACTGAGCTGAAAATCTAATAGGAAAACAGGGCTTTTCTTTTTTTTTTTTAAAGGAAAGATTAGCTGGGTAAGGCAGTTCACACCTGTAGTCTCAGCAACTCAGGAGGCTGAGGCAGAAGGACTGCTTGAGCCTAGGAGTTCAAGACTAGCCTGGGCATCATAACACAGCAATACCTCATCTCTATAAAAATGTTTAAGAAATTAGCCAGGCCTGCTGGTGTGTGCCTGCAGTCCCAGCTACTTGGGAGGCTGAAGCGGAAGGACTGATCGAGCCCAGCAGTCAGAGACCAGCCTGAGCAACACAGTGAGGCCTCATCTCTATAAAAACTAGCCGTGCTTACAGTCCCAGCGTCTCGAGAGGTCCGAGGCAAGAGGATGGCTTGAGCCTGGAGTTGGAGGTGCAGTGTGCTATGATGACACCCCTGCGCTCCAGCCTGGGTGACAGAGCTAGATCCCGTATTAAAAAAAAGGTAAAACCCACAAGAGAACTACAGAAATATGACCCTCACCCCCCCCTTAACACAAACACCTACCAAAGACTCCATTCTTCAGGGACAACTTTGAAGGGTGTGGCTTCCCTGTGGGGTGCAATTGTCATACTAAGCAAAATGGAAAACATGTTTCAAAAACAATCACAAGGCCAGGCTCGGTGACTCAGCCTGTCATCCCAGCACTTTGGGAGGCCGAGGCGAGTGGACTGCCTGAGCCCATGGGTTTGAGACCAGCCCAGGCAACTTGGTGAGAC